TTTTAAATTTGACACCAAAAGCACGCTAAATGAAATGGTTAGCTAAGGTAAAATGGGTTATACATCCTGCCATTACAGATATTGAATTAATGCAGGTATCTCCCATTTTTTAACAGTGTTCTTGAGTGGGTGGTGGTGAATTGGAGTGAAACTCTATGGTGTGGTGTGCTGCTGCCTGCGTTGCTGCCACAGCACCTCTGCCGCTGTTCTGCTCACGATAACTTTAATTTGGCTTAATGGAAATTTTCGCTGGCGCTCTTGTTGGTCTGTTATCCTTAAGCAAACTCACGGATGCTGTGCTCCCATGTCTCTCTCTCTCTCTCTATTGTCCTCGTGCTCGTCCTCGTGGTCTTACCCATTCTCTGCCAGCTGCTGGCCGTGGTCCATGTCCGTGTCCATGTCCCTGTCCCTGTCCATGTCCGCGTGTTAAGTAGGTGACGCAACCGCAAATTTGCGGCTGGCGATTTAATAATGCTAATGGTGTGCGTGTGCCACAGTGCGTCGAGTGCGAGTGCATCGGTCTAGATGTAGTTGTTGCTTATGGAGCGTCTGTGAGTCACGTCATCATCATCGACATTGCCGTCGTCAACGTCATCGTTGGTCGAACCATTTACGTCGTCGCCAGCCGGTAATTCCCCGAACCCATACTCATACCCATAGCCATAGCCATAGCTATCCGCATCCCACCACGCCATGGCCATGCCCCCTTAGGTGGTGCAAACAAGTGCAAGTGATGCGCATTCATTGATAAGATTTCGTGCCACAACTCGCCGCTGCAAGCAGCTGTCTTTGTGTGTACTACGTGTGGGCATACATTAAGCCAAGTCAAGACCGCGCGTTGGCCATATAAGCTGCAACGCGAGAGTGAGCGTGAGCAAATCTTTCAATCGCAGATACAATATGGACACACCGGACTGACTAACTGACTGCTCTCTGTTGTGGTCAAAACAGCTGTTGTTTGGCACAAACCTGCAGTGTCATCAGCGATAAGCACGAGAGTTCTTGAGTCGCGCGACGACTACGATCCCACCTTCAAATCCCCAAACTAGCCAACTTAAGGTTTGTTGAACCCACAAACGCTTATACTCTTATCTTGGGCTATGGAACTTAACCCTCTGGCCGCCAATCGAATGTCATTAACAAGGGGGCTGGATTTTATAGAGGCTAATACGAGCTGTGTTGTATAGTAATTGATGGGGGGGATTGACTACTACTTCTACTACCGGTAATAGATATGGAAAATGTGCCATGATGCAGCACTTTGAGATAGCTCACTCTATAATTACTCTACACTTTAAGGGTATCAAATTGAATTGGAACTTATTTTTGAAAACTAAAAAGATTTAAGTTTAGATTTAAATGTAATGAATTGAGTTATTAACACATTAACACTCTAATTAATAGAGTTAAAGCTTGGTCTAAAAGATACAATACAAATTATCAAAGATACAGGTTCCATTTTATTCCATTTGATACATCACATCTCCTTTACTAAAAGGTGAATTTCTTGTGGGGACAAAAGTCGTGACTCGGAACCAAATTGCTCATTCGACGTGGTTGCCACCAATACCCTTCTTATTCTCTGTGTTCAGGCTTTTGTTTACGTTTTTAGAAAAAAAAAAAAACGAGAAAAATACGAGGCAACCTCCATCCTCTTCTGCCTTCCTTTTTTTTTATTTGATTATACATTCTTCATTGAGCAATTTGCGTTTTCGTGTTGCACTTGACCCAAGGAGCCGGCAACAAGTTAAGACCGAGGACCGAGAAGATGCGAGGGCAAATTAAGCGAGGCCAGCAGCATCCCAAGGATAATGGTATTAATGGAGCACAAGCACACACACACACACACAGACAGAAGCGGGGTTCCTGCCCCCCAAAGGCATTTATTTTATGGCAAGAGCAGACGCGTGTCCATGTGTGTGCGTACGTATCCTTCGCTCACATCCGCACACATGCAAATAACAGAGGCGGCTGGCTGCTGGCTGCAAGAGCAAAGCGTAACCAAAACCAAACCAACCAAGTCGCGATTTTCATTCATAAAATCGAAGAGCCAAGGAAAATGGGCAGCGAAGGAGGCTGCGCTGCCGCGCCGCTGCTACCAATAACTCAAAAGGCGCGCGCATTTCAGCGCACTTGTGTTAATGTATCTGAAAGTGAAATCACCAAAAGGCAGGCATACATATATCCGTGCCATGCCGGGTCCGGCGCCAACTTCAAACTATTATTTGCCAGGGCACGCGGCCAGCTCCTCTGCCTCTGCCACAGCCGACGTTGTTGTCGCTGTCGCTGCCTCTGCCTGCTCAATTAAGTGAATTAAGTCTCGTGCCGGAATTTGCACCACCCAAAAAAAAAAAACGAAAAACAAAAACCCCACTGCGAAGAGGAACAATAACAACAACAACAACAGTAGCGACACATAACCATAAAGAACAATTAAAAAAGCAGAACAAGAAAGGAATATAAAGATAAGGCACAAAGAAGCGCAAAAATACTGCAACGAATTGCAAATTCCCTTTCATTTGGGAATTGGTAAACGGTAAACAATGGAACAGGTACAGGAATATATTATTAAACTAGAGAAAGTTTATAAGAGGTTTTAAGAATAGGACTTCCTCTTGAGATTTTATGAAAATATCTTTTACACCACTTCAAGTTGTGTTTATTGTAGTCAAGTGTTTTGGGAGTTAAGTGGATATATGTTATCAAATATCTATTATTAAAGTTATAATAATTATTATTATATTAGTTCTAGTTTAGATAAGCTCTTAAAGTAATTGTAATATTCCGAAAACTGTAAATCTACATACAGAAATTTAGATTTCAAAGATCTCGCTTAAAAATCTTGATAAAACAAACTATTTAACTTTATTTATAAGAGTCTAAGGACCTTAGTATGTTGTAAAAGGAAGTTATATAATGATTTTAATGAAATTATACATTTCTATAAAATAAAGTAATATTTATAATTCTACAAGTATTAAACCAAGTTTAAACCTTATTCCACAATAATGAATATAGTTTCCCTAACTTCAATAGAGTACTTTCCACGGCTTTAGAGCTATTTTGGGGCTTACGAAATACCAAACAAACAGCCCGGTGAATTCTCCATGACCTGAACGCATTGTAAAACTTTTCTTTACTGTCGGAAGAACTAAGAAATTAATACAAACTGCTCCGCGCTGCCGCCAACGAAAGAGAAAACGTAAACAGAGCAGTGACGCTGGCGCTGACGCTGACGGCGACGCCAAAAAGTTTGTTGCTGTTTTTCTGCGGGGGCGCAAGATGTCGACGGGGGGAGGTCGGGTCGGGTCTGGACGGGTGACCAACGAGAGAGAGCAAGCAAGCGAGCTAACGAGCATGAGGGAGAGCCAAAAAAGAGCGTTTTGCATGTAATTAATTAAACGGCCCCAAAAGTCAGCTGTCTGCCGTCGCTACTACTGCTGCTGCGACGGCGACGGCTGTCCAATTGTTGCGTTGCATTAGACGCAGCGCAGCGGCTTAGCCGGCGACAGCGACGCGACTGCGATTGCGACGCCGACTACGACGCAGGCTGCGGCTATTTAGCATATTGTGCGAATGTGTGCCAATAGATGGCGCTGCATGATGCTCTCGCCCCGTCCCAAAGTGCGAGCGAGAAAGGCAGCGCTAGCCTAGACCGTTATTTTATGCACTGGGGGGAAAATCAATCAAGTGATTTTAACATTTATCAGTAAATATATAAACTAAAGGCATATATTTATGAAGGTAGCTAAGGCTTGGCTTGAGCCGTCGTAGGTATAGTGTCTACATTTAAGCTTCCTCAAAATTTAAAATTACTTTTAATAGTACAACTTAAAGCAGAAAACACTAAATTCCAAATCTCATTTCTCCCTGTGTTTTTTTGGGGACGGTGTAAGAAGGAGGTTAGCATGGGGGCACTGGCCAGCAGGCTGCACGTGCAACTTTTGCATTGTTTACATTGCACTGAATGGCAGCAGCCAGCATTGTTGTTGTTGTTGCCTCTGCTGCTGCACGTACCTTTGTTGTTATTCTTGTTGTTGATAACCTTCCCAACTCCGCTACTCGCATTAACCTCCCTCTAAGTTTGCATGTCATGGCAATGCCACGAAGCACCACACACCATACACTACCACCCCCAACCGCCCACACAAGGCGGCGGGCGGGCGCACTCGCCCACGCATTTTGCCAATAAGCTTGGCACAAACCACATGTTGAGGCTACGCGCATTTCGCAAGATGCCTGATGATGCTGCTGCAGGTGCGGGGCATGCCACCTGAGTGATTCACCAATTGGCACAACCCACAAAAGCCGCCTTATCAAAAGACTTGGAATGAACTGAACTTGCAGTAAGTTCAAGTCGCTGATAAGACGATTCTCGGTATTGGGATTTCTTGGTATTAATCTTTATCTCATCGATCCCAATTATATTTGCAATTATTTTGATTAGTGTTTCATAAAATAATATCGATAGATTTATGGCGTCACAGTCAATTATTTGTACGGTGATTTACATAGGATCAATCAAATCAATTCATAAGAACTAAGATACTAAAAGTTGAGAATGTTATATAACTCCTTTCTATATCAGAACCTAAGAATCTGAATCAAAGAACTTAAGATAGTAAGTTCAGAGATTTTGAAACCTAAGTCTCAATACTTGTCTAATTTCTTTTGATGATCATTTTAAAATTTGGTACTATAAGATATTTCAAGAATCTCTAATATATCTTTGAACCCTTAAAATTATTTATCTTTAACTTTTTTTCCCGATTTTTTTTGGATAAAACTGAACCCGAGAAAAATTCAACTTAAAAAGCAAAAGAACAATAGAACTATAGATTTTCAACTGTTAAGACCTATGTAAATATACTTCAGCTCCTAAAATGTCCTAGTCTTCCAACCAAAACTATAAATATTATAACCTATTTCGGTTTCCCTTTGGAAGATCCACCCATTACAACTATAGATACCTCTCCTTATAGAGGACTGTCGGGACTCACCTCAGTGCACATTTTCGGCTGGGCCGTTCTCAGTTTCACAACGTTTTAGTATCCAAAAAGATATGGATGAACGAATAAAAAAATGTTTCGCGTTGGAGTTTTGTATGTTCAGGATCGGATCCCGCTTATATCAGGACGGAGATCCCTGTCAGTCAGTCACTGGGCGTGGATGTGGACGCGGGCGGATCAGAGGGCGGCCAGCAGGTGTCCCGAAGGAAAGCGGGACGAGCAGGCATAGGAGCGGCCCAAAGCGGCATCACAGCACTGGGATGACATACTGGCACTGCAATCTGTTTGTTGTTGTGGTTCACTTTCTGGTGCTAAGCCAGATTTATAAAATATATTTTTATAATTTTGAATTGGGTATTTTTCGCACTCAGCACTTTTCCGGGAACGAGAGCGGGCAACTGGAATTTTGATAACTTTGAATTACGCGCGCTGGCGTTTACGTCGTTTTCGAATTGTATCTGACGGAGCGGCCTGGCGACGTGGACCTCGCTACGCCGTGTTAAAATCACAAATAAAACGCTCGGCGCTCAAGAAGCAGGCAGCAGGCTGCCAAACGAAACGCCACACAGTCGCACACACTCACTCACCGCCGCGCGAGTAAATGCACCCCTGTACGAGCCACGGGCCGGAGCGAGGGCGAGAGCGAGAGGCAGATGTGTGCTGTCTCGCTCTCGCGACGCGCACTTATGTAAAAAGCATTGAAACTGAACGAGTTTCTGGGCGCACAGCGGACTGAGAGGGAGCGGAAGGGAGAGAGAGAGAGCGAGAGCAGCACACACAATGCCAGCGGCATTGCCAGCTGTGTGCGAGGCGAGTCAGTCGGCGTTGCCAGCTGCGAGTTTCAGCCCCAGCAACGGAAGGCAAGGCAGAAATCCCAACAACGAAATAACGAACTACGAGGCGAAACGTTGTGCAAACCAAAAGCAAACCGAACCAAAACCAGGCGCCTTAGCCCGCCGGTTTGGATCGGTTCGATTGTGGGAGCGGGTATTCAAAAGATACCCAAGCAACCAACCAACCGTCGCAGGGTTGCCAGAGTGTGGCGTACGACTTAAAAGATATTTTGGATAACCAGCACTTGGTTTTTGAAAAGTAGTTGGAATTGTTTTGATAGAGAGGGATACATTTTTGGAGGGAATGACCAGAAAGCAATGTCCTCAATTTTTTGGAATAAAATGTATACTTATATAATATTTTACTCCATTTATGTATACGTTAAAATGTATTATATTAAAACTTTTTTAATAAGTAATAGGGGGTATTGATTTGTGTTGATATTAATCCTAATAATAACAATAATTTATCATATAAAATTAAATAAGCAAAAAGCTATGACTAACCCATACTCATTTGTATAAGAAGGTTAATCTTAATATCTGAAATAATATTATATTATATTATATTATGTTAACTCGAAATTATAAAGAAGTTAAGCATTATTTTATAAAAATTCGAATGAAAGCTTAAATTTATATGCAATATAGATATATTCTCTCATTACAATATCTATCAAGTATCAAAGAGCAAAATATCTGTTACAATTATAGATTTAACTTTCCCATATGGCAAACATCGAAATTTAAAATAATAATTTATATTAAACAAAGAAAAAACATAACCCCACGATCAACTCAGTTAACTTTCCCATATTAGTCAGATTAGTAATCCCCTCGATTGCCGACATATGGCAACGCCGTGGCGGACAAATGCTGACTAACAGTCTACACCAATACCAGCGAGCGAGTATCTCGTGTATCTGTGTGCGCTTGTCAGTTGGGATTTCGCTTCGTTTCGTTTCGAATCGTATCGCATCGTTCGTTTTCGTTTCGTTTCGTTTATATAAAGGTACATTTCCACACGCTGCATATAGAGATATATATGTACGTGTGTGTGTGTGTATGTGTGTGGTATGCGGCGAAGACTAAAACTGAACCCGAGTGCCTGCTGCCGCCGCTCTCTCTCCTCTCCCTCTCCCATTCTCTTTCGGTGCCTGGTGCTTTGTTGGAACATTTTTGTTTATTTCAGCGCTGCGCTCGTCGTATCTGTATCTCAGATGTTGGCTGACTGGTTCGCTTCGCACACTCGCCGTCGCCGTTGCCGTCGTATCTGTATCTGCCAGGTACTTTTTGCTTTCGAGCTCATGGCTCGTACCCGTACCGCTGTCGCTCTAGCTGTAGCTGCTGCTGTTGGCTCTGTTGTTGCTTTTGCTCTGTGCTATTTTATACCGCCAAGATTGCTGCTGCTGCTGTGCGAATTTCGCCTTGAAACATTATTATTTTTGTTGCCTCGCTATTCGCTCGCTTATCTCTCTTATTTGGCCCAAAAAGCGAACAGCAAGCAGCGCGCCAAATTCTAATTTGCCAGATTTTCGAAGGTCAGTCGGTGGCAGCGCAGGAACAGGAACCGTAACAACAGTCCGTCGCAGGCTGCGGACCAGCGCTGACTGATTGTTTTCAAGTTTGGCCGAGGCGCGCTTGGCTTGGCTTGGCTCGGGAATGGAATGGCAATGGCACCAAACCGAAACAGAAACCCCCAATCGCCAATCCCCCAACCCCATTCCCAACTACAACAAAAACAATCTACAGCCGAAACCAAAGTCCCCAACAAATTTTGCGCCGTGCCGCATATTTTGCCGTATCCTGGCGTAGATGTAGCTGCTGCCTCGGCCGCCGCTTCCGTCGCTGCCGCCTCTGTCGCTGATGTCATTACTTCATTTGCGAGAAATGAGCTTTATATTTTTTTATTCCCAATCGAACGGGGTACAAAGGTAGTCCCTAGTTCCGTTCCAGCTGATGACACAGACATGCAACTGGTCGGAGTGCTATCGATAGCTCTTTTTCTTGTTATCGGTGCTGTCTTGAAGGCTTTTTTAATGAAGGATTAATGACTGAATCAGGGTATTTTTATATAAACTGTGGAGTACACCTTGGCAGGGAATTTTCTGTTATATTAACTAATTAATAGAGATTATGATCCTTCAGAGAAAGGTTTGTATATCAAAAATTCCAAAGGATTACTAGTTTTAAACCTTCCTGTGTATGCATGAACAAGCAACTATGTTTTAAGGTTAACAAAAACTTGTGTAGTAGTTTCTTTAGTTTTCAATTTCAACAAATGGTTGGTTGTCTTGATCCTGTGGATCAGTTATACCAGCTTTTAATTATTTTGAAACTCAGAATACCAATTTGCGATACCAATTTGCGATCAGATGTCGAGAGAAATAAAATGTGATCGTAACCAAATATTCCTTTATTTAGAATACTCTTGTTTTCTTCGATCAACTACTGATCGATCATCGCAAAATTACATAATTGGGAATGCAGAAATGGAACAAACAACCCCTGTTTCCATTGATTCCGTTCCGTTTCCCCATTCCCTGAGTAATCCCGGCGTCGAGAGTTCCGTTTTCCGTGCTCCACAATGATGGTTGTTTAGTTTAATTCGTGACGCGATGCAGAGCAGCAAATAAATCAAAACAACAGCATCGGCGGCGGCGGTGGTGGTGATAAAAAAATCGCTTTTCACGTGAGAGTAAAAGCTTCGAATGCTGCGCTGCCTGCGTCGCTGCTGCTGCGTCGCATTGCTGCTCGGCGATTTGAATATGTTATGATGTTGATGATGTTGTTGCTGCTGCATGCTGACGCTGCTGCTGCCCCTTGCGTCGCCAACTGGTTTTATTTGATTCTCTGTTTCTATTGCGTCTACTTCCGAGTTCAATGCAAGCAACGCGACGCGCCGCGGCGCAGTCAGCAGCGGCAGCGGCGTTGCGCAACCGCCCACACGCGCTACGCCTGCCGTTAGCTTTTGCAAATGTGTGTGTGTGTGTGTGTTTGCGAGGCTGCGTCGTGCAAATATTTTGCCAGCATTCGCTATTCACACACATGTACGACCCAGAGGCTGCGCCACCCCCGGCTGAGTGCCACCAAACCTTGCCCGTCTCACCACCCACCACCCCTCGAATTCCCAAAACGTGTCCGCTTTTTGCCGGCACGGCACTTACTCACTGGCAACTCGCAAAACAACACACATGTTGCTTCGGTTTAGATTTAGACGAGTTTTGAATGCTGCTAAATAAATGGTTGAATGCCGCAGGAGGAGGACACCTTTGTGCTGCCACCAGCAACATCTACATGCATGCATACATAGATACTACACCTGCAACATCTACGGCGGCAACAATAGCTTGGCGATCGTGTTGCAAAAACAGGTGGCTGCTTTGCATAGTCTTGCATCCGCAGTTGAATGTTTGGCTGCCATTGCCTGGCTAACTCCAAAACATGGTCAACTGGGAAGCTGATGTTATAGCCACAAAAATTTGGAGAATTATTTACAGGATTATGGGGAATTATAGACAGATTAATATATACATACATATGTATGTATATGTAAATATAGATAGATAGATAGATAGATATATAGGTTAGATGTAGTATTTTATCGATATAAAAATGTCATTGCCTAAATTGTGTTACCTTCATTAAAAGTAGGTCTGACCTTATCTTGGCCAAAATTTGGCAAACTTTAGCTGATAATAAACAGCAATTATGATTGCCTCAACTACTTAAATCACCTTTAAAGACGTTAGTTAGTATTGCTTTAACCATTATTAACTAGCAAGTGGTTGAAACTTCAATTAGACACGAACCTCTGCCTATTTGCACTTAACATTTAAGATATATTATTCTCAAAGCTTGGCTTAATTTATGTCCAAAGCTATAAGAAAAGTTAAGTTACACTAGTATATTTAGTTAATATGATATATGTAGATATTTATGGGTTCAGATTTTCCCACTCCTATTGTTCCAATTTCCTCGCTATAAACTGTTGCTTACATTTTAATTATTCCCTTACCATTCAGAATTTTCTTAAAGGATTCATTACCTAATTACTCCTTGCATCATGCAGCCGTTCATATGGGTCTGTCGCCATGCAATGCAGTCGCACATTAAAAAAAGGAAAACAAAATAAAAGCCAGCCGAGCATGCTGCGTTCAGTAATCGAATCAATTCCATGCCAATTATACAATCTGTCACCAGGAGTGGGAGGCAGGAATAGGAACAGGAGCTGGGGGGCAGGATCAGGACCAACGACCCTGACCGATACCGATTGCATCGGACGTGGACTTGCTGATAAGAAAGCATTCGGACAGGAAGCAGTCGCGGAACAATAACATGCCACAGCGAGTTGCAGACAACTAACCTTCACTGAGGAAAAAATGAATCAAGGCCTAGGATTAGGAAATTAGGAAAGAGTGGAGTTTAATTATTTATTTAAAATGTTTTTTAAATGATTAAAGTAAGCCATAAATCAATCAATCCTACAACTGAAAACAATTTATAAAATAATAGTTTTTTTTTTTAGAATCATTAAGAAATGATTATTAAACAAAATTTAAAATCAAAAATGATCTAAAAATACCAAGTCAGAACTAACCAAGATGTGAAGATATTGCGGAGCAAGGATATTGAAGTAAAAGAAAAACTAGATTTATAGAGTAGTTTAAATACGGAATAAGGCTACTAGG